GTAGGGAATTCTGGTACGTAGTAATTGCGTTTTACTTGTGTTGATTTTCACATTAAGGAAGACTTGAGAGGCATGGTTGCTGTGGTTCGGTGGCAGTGCCAGGACCTGCTGCCTGCCTCGGAAGGTGAGGCTTGACTTCGGAGCTGCACTGAAACAGAGAGGCATGAGCCCCAAGGCACATAGCCAACGTTTGTCCACGTGATGGTACATCAATGTATGCGTTAAAACCGTAGTGCTAGCACTTTTTGAATGTTCTGTGTGTCTGGTTCATACATTGTGGTTACCTATTGATACAGAGAAATCCCCAGTTGTCATTTCTTTGTTTCTGTAAGGCTTACATATATTCAGTTTTAATTCTGCTGAAGAGGAGTAAAAAACCAGTCATCCTTGCTGCCCCCAGATCTTAAGTGGAGTTTTCAAATTAGAAACCTAGAATTAATTCACTATTTTAAACTCTGATCAGAAAATGTGGTCCGGATGGATGGTCACTGGCTGCTGTAAGCTGTTCCTTTGAAGCAAATGGTACTACATGCAAACTTTTGGGTTCTTTGTGGACATTCAGTTTTAGCCCCGGAGTTTTTCTCAGTTTGAAAATCTGTAACGTGCTGGTCACATCTCCTTCTAAACTCTGTGGCAAGTAGTTTTCAAGCTGGGCCACTTTTACACTGACTGTTGAAACATGAGGTTACCTCTCGAGCAAAGGGAAGACGTTGAGTTGGAGGTGGTGAGATGGCATCGGAATTGCCTCCCGCTGAACTGTCATAACTTGGCTGGGCTATTTTAATAGAGAATACCAGAATTTAAATCTCACTTTTAAAGTGGTCTCGTGTAGTGACATTTTTACCTATGTTTTAATTTTCCCATGCTATCTTCAGGTTTTGGGAAGGGAGGAGGCAAATAACTGAAAGCAAGAGATCCTCACTGATGTGAGTTTTCTGGGCTAAGGAATTGTGTTCAAGCAGTAACTGGGTAGTCATTTGCCTGACATACGTGAACACGGTACATTAAAAGCAACGCCTGCGTAGATGGGCATCTATTAACAATTGCTTTTTGTGAATTATTAATGATCTCTTTGGGTTAAGACGGCGCACAGAGACCCCAGCCTAACCATGCCAGGTGTTTTGTAGTGTAAGAAAAAGCCAGTTGTGGCTGCAGAAAGCTCCAAGCCTCACGGCGGGACAAGGCAGAGCAGAGAGGGTGGGAGCAGGAGGCGGCCGAGGTCGCGGTGCTACCGTCCGACCAGCTACTGCTGAATTCCTGGGTAAGCCCCTGGCCACAGCGTGCGCAGGGCTACTGAAACCATGCTGCAGGTTTCAGCGGTGATCTGCTCTCAGGAATAAAGAGGAAAATGCAAAGATGTGAAATAGAAAATTGCCTCATTGGCAGGGGAGTAGTAACGCATTGTTATTGATGGCTCTCTATTGTATCAGGCATAACATAGAGGCAGCGTGCTAGCTACAGAGAACATGAAAAATGAAGGACTGAGTGAAAGCCGTTGAGCATTTACTGTGTTTAAAGAGCGCACGAGGTTGTTCCAGTCTGTTGAAGACAAGCGAAGAAAATGCTTGTCTTAATGATTTGAGTTTAATTACTGAACTAAAGAAGTATCTTGTAATGTCATATATGCTCAGCGCAGGCTTTTGTTTCAGCTGGTCACTGGGTGTTCGCGAGGGACTAGACCAAATGAGATGAGTGGGAGGCTCTGCAGTCTGGGTAGTGGTATCACGTAATGAATCTTTAAGGTTTTGTCACACACGTGTTAAGCAGTGTAAGGTACACGTGTCCATGTAACTTCTCTTGCCCTTTGATCATTTTCTACTCTTCTTTCCTAGGGGAAAACTTTTATATTTTAGTTTGGAGATTTAAAAAAGAAAACACAACAAAAACCTCAACCCACATTGCAGGGGATAAATTAAAAAAATATTTTGTGCTCTTAAATTGGAAAACAGTGAGATCTGTGATGGTTCTCAGCTTCTGTGGGCATTCATTTTCAGCTGGGCATCTAAGAAGTAACCACACATGACACATGTTAATCATAGTGCTTACTAGCAGGTGCTCAGGTATTCAGCTGTAGATGATCATGTAAGAATGGGAAAAGAACAGAGGACAATAGATTTACAGGCAGAACGCCTACCGTTTATGTTTTCAAATCTCCGTGCACTCCCCGTCATAGCTTTGTTTTCATTTGTTTTTAATTAAATCTTTAAAGGTCCCTTCTAATCCAAGCCACTATGATTCATTCTATGCCCCACGTTACCTCTGCTGGCTGCAAATGCCAAGTCTGCCTAAAGCTGGTTCTCTCTGGGACATTTTGGAAAAGTGCAATATGTATTTCTGTGAGTGAACTTCAGTTTAGTGGTGTTCTGAAATGCTTACACTGAAGATATTTTGCAATTTCTATGAAGATCACTGAAGTCTGGCCACACCGAAAAGCGGGTCTGTCCCGCGCGCTCAGTGATCCTCTGCCTGAAGCTGACAAATTGCACAAGAGAGAAAGGCGTCTGGCTTGAGAGCGTAAAGCAGATAAGAGACACGTCGTGGCAGAGAAGATGCCATTTCTTCTTAAATACAAATTGGGAAAAGGTTCATATTTTCAAGCAGAAAGTGGGGGGTCAGCAATGGAGGTTGGGACGGGGACCTGGAGATGAGTACGAGGAGTCAGAGGCGGCCCTGGAGGGGAGGTGGGAACTGAGAGCCGAAGGGATCAGCCTGCGCTGCTGAGGGCGTGCTGCCTGAGCAGACTTTGGGGGTGAGGGCAGTTGGAACATCAGGCAGGGAAATTGAGTGTAAACGTATTCTAAGTGGGTGCGTGTTTTGATACAGTCTTGCAGATATTATTACTTATTATTTTAGCTCTCATGCTGTTTGTTCTTGATTGTTTTCTGGCTTTTGCATTTCCAGAAGCGAACAAAGTTGCATTGGAAAATGAACTTAGCAAAAGTTGTTTGTTGGGCAATGTGTGGTGCAAAAAAGGGAGGAAGATGTGTGCGAGTGCATGGGAAGGCAACGGATTTAACCAAGGAAACTATTCTGAAGGAGGGAAAACCCCCGCCCTAGTTCCTCAATGGCTGTCTGAAGCCAGGCCTGTATTATGACAATTAATTATTTGTAGAATTTTAAACCTTTGTTTTGGTTACCATTTCCCACTGTGGAGGTGTGCACAAAGCCGACAAGCTGTGGCAGGCTTGTACCGGCTCTGCTTGGGCCTTCCTTAGGAAAAGACCTTATGGAATGCCCCCTGCGTACAGACTGGGGGCCAGACCCCGCGGAGCACGGCAGCCGGAGGCACGGCCCAAGGAAGGACCCAGGCTCCTCTGTGCCGAGGGGAGGGACTGGGGTGCAGGAGGCGGCCTGGAGGGTGGGGAGGGAGAGAAGGATGGTGAGGCTTGAGCATGAAAATTCTTGGGACCAATGACTTAAATGCTCATGTTTTATGTGATTTAGTGGTTTTATGCTCTCTATCTAATTTTTCAGGGTGTCCCAAAACCAAGTAGGACAGCATTTTACCTTCGTGCTCACCGACATTGAAAGTAAGCAAAGGTTTGGATTTTGCCGTTTGACGTCGGGAGGCAAGGTCTGCCTCTGTATTCTAAGGTAAGATAGTATAAGAAAAATTGAGTCAGGGAGCGAATATAAGAAAAATACAAGAAAAAATTATCTTTTGCAAATCCTCTGATAATGCCTTATACTTCTCTATCAGGGTGTTGTTTCTCTACAACAGTGTTACCGTTGATTTCATGTGAAAAGTAGCCCCAAGCCACATGTGATAATATTCTTGTGTAAGGCTAAATAATTCTATTTAAATAACATGAAATCTCTGCTTAAAAGCAGAGAACAATACACTGCAGCTTTAGAGGCTTTGAATATGACGTGGATATTTTTACTTTCTAATGAGATCTTTGATGAGCATCCAGTCAATTTAACAATAAAGTGCACTATTCTGTATTACTTTCCTTGCAAATACGATTTTTGGGGATATCTTCCATGTTCTTTGGCCAGAACATATCTAGTACAAGAAATGCCAGAGCCAGATAATTCTCAATAAAGAGCATGCCACTTTGTTGCAGAAGAGAGATTGATGATGGAGAAATTGAACTCAGTGAAATACTTTTGTTTCTCCCTCTGCTTTTCTTTCTTCTTCCGTAAGATAATTGTTTTGGTAATGAAAAAAAACAATTCGTTTGCTGTCCTAAACCCCTTTTAATTAAATTAATTAAAAGACAAATTTGCCATTTCAATTAAGAGTCTAGCAGCCTGTAATGTCCATAGAAGAAATGTGAACGTCCAGTTGAGCAGCACATGAGAAGAACAAGGTCGAAGTATAATTGCCTTCAAAATGAGAATCCCCAAACACGAGGTGAAAGAGGAGCCGTGTGCTGCCAAAGAGCCAAACCCACTGGCAGCAGAGAGGCGACTTGGACAATTTTGGAGATTAAGCTAGGAAGCTTATGGAGAAAAGCAGAATATCGGGTATTTGGGCAACATGACAGTCGGGCAGTCATGGAAGGTGTCATTAGGAGGACAGACCACATGAGTTAGGGAAACAAACCCAACATCGACTTGTAAAAGAGTATCGGTGAAAGAACATGCAGAGTGGAATGTTACAGACAATACAGACCAGACAATATAGAAACTTGTAGAGTGGTGCTTAAAATTATTGGAAATATCACATCAAGACTTTTGTGAGCTTTTTAAACAGATTCCAAACTAATGTTGAGAGCTGGTACACTGGATGTTTTTAGGCAAGTAATTTAAAAATAAGTATTTGCTATAAATATTGCCAAAAAAAAAAAAAAATTACTATCATATAATGAAAATAGCAAAAGAAAAAGATTTCATTCTGCAAATTAATTGACTTTCTGTGATCCTGACAATACTTCTTTAATAATACTGTGGAAAGATTTAATTCTTAGGATTTTGGAGTGTATAATACTTAACCCTTTTCTCTGTGATACCTTTTGTTGATATATCTTGTTAAGACCCAGAGAGAGAACGTATATGTATGATTTTAGCTCTTTTCTCGGAGTTAACTTTTTCAACTCATCAAGCTAGAAACAAAATTTTTTACTTGTACTCCTAACATTGTCTGGCTGAGTTCTAACGCTACATAACAAATGCTTAATCAGTTACACACACCCAAGTGCACACATTTAAATGCTGTATGTGGTGCTGCATAGCAAAGGACGCAAATTCTCAGCTGGTGTAAACTTGAGTATTTCTTTTAACATTTCCCCACAGACATGCATTGGTTAAAGGTTAGTCAGTGGTCTGTTACTTGGTAAAAATAACTAGGGCAATGACAAGTGGCAAGCTATAATTTTTCACCAAACCATAATCAAAGCATTGCCTTTATTCCTTTTATTGTGACAATTTCAAATTTGCAATGCATAGCTGAATGCGTAACAGCACTAGCATTGTACTTACAGCTTGGTAGTCCGTTTCTTTCCAGTTTGTGTGTGTTGTGTTTAGCTCAGACAGAAGGAATGCATCAGTATTTCCATCTGATATGTTTCTGCTCTGGCTCCAAGATTCATTACAAGTGACCAAGTGAAAGAAGACTCACTAGCAGATTTCTTTTGGCATTTTATCTGGCTTTCCCTTGTACATGCTTGTTGATCTTAAATTAACCAAAATCAAAGAAATCTTAACAAATGAATGCTGTCTTTATATATCAAGAGCGTGTATGCATGTTCACACTTGCTCTCTTCCATATATCAAAGTAGTAGAAATTTATTTTCGCTGAGTGTATATACACATATAATGACTCAGCTGTATGTGCAATTCAGACTCCTTGTCTGTCACAGATAATGTACACAACAGTCATAGACTGTTATATAAACACATAAATACCATGTCTAGGTACCCACCTACATATGCACACACATGTATATCGCCTCAAAGGAGTAATACATTAAGATTGCTGACTGGGGCTTTAACAGCAACAACTAGAGATAGGCAAATGCAGAAAAATTAACTACATGAAATGGTCATAAGTAACTAAAATTTAAGTAACAATCTCTGAAAAGACGAGCGGGAATAAGCCAGTTGAAGCAATGAGAAGGAAATACTCGGGAAATTTGGGCAGGCTGATGAGTGGGGAACAGGACACAGCTTTTCTCTCGTGGAAGGTACCAGGCCACGCGTTAACCTGTGCTGGGGCAGCTGAAGAGACAGGATTTGAACTGCTGAAGGGGATTCTTAACTGAAAACTGAAGAAAAGGCTGCTTGTCCTCAGGTTTTACACCAACAACCTAAAGCTGCTTCTAAGATTAAAGCCTTGTAGTTTATGGGATTTCTCTCTCTAATTCGTTCTTCATCTGAAACACTAATTAAAGGAAATCATCTCTGAGTTTTCAACCACATGGTCTTGGTTTAAACTGGATAGTTTGTGACAGAAAACATACTTGTACATCTAAAAATTCTTCTATAAGTTTTACGTTTTTTAACATTTTATATACGCGCATATATGAATTGTGTAAAAAAATTTTTCTCCCAAATCAGAATGTTTTGTTCAAGTTCTCTGTATGTTTATACAGTGAAATAAAAATCCCCCAAGGTAGCTATTTCAGGCATTTTTGTTTGAAGAACTTAATTGTGATACAAAATTGTCTAAAATGAAAATGCAAAGCTTGGCTGCAGTCGCCAAATTCAAAGTGCCCGTACATGCAAAATCGTAGTAAGACAAGAAAATAAATCTTGGATTATACTCCAGAAGTTTCACGTGATTCCTTTGCAAGTTTTGGGGTTTTGTTTTGTTCTGTTTTCTTTAAACTGCATGGCTGCTCGGTGAAACTTTCTGAGCGAATCCTGCTGCGTCACCTCCTCCCTCTCCACAAAGTGTTGAGCTCCTGCAGCCCCGTAAGAATGAGGGATACCACAGTAGAAATATTGTCACATACCTGGTTGTGCTCATATACCATGCGGGATCTTTTCTTCTAGTTTTACTTTTCAGTTTTTAATTTAAGAAGTAATTTTGCCAGTTGAGATTTAAAGTGGCACAGCAGAAACTTCACTGTTCACTTTCAAATAATAGAAGGAGACTTAATTCTTCTGGGTATTGTTTCTAAATATCCCTGCTGTTTGCAGTAGGAATAATACTTTCTGGGTTTACGTGAAATTGTTTTTGAATTACCTGAGTGGTTTTAGTACAAAGTGCAAATAATTTGACTGAAATTTGTTTTGTTAAAAATCTTGAAACTGTTGATGGACTCTGAGGTTGACCTTATGTATCCAGAGGAATGCAAAATGCATCGTTAAAATGCTCAGTCTTAGATTTCATTAATTTTATGACTGTAAAATTGTCACCTACGTTTCCAAATGAAATGCTCTAATAAGGAAGACAGGTTTATGTGGTAAGCCTTTGTAGTTCTTCAGTTCAGACCACGCTTGAAGCTTTCTCGCTCTTCCTTTAGGCAAATCCCTTAGAAGCAGAATGTTTCAATTTTACACATTTTGTGTCAATTTTCCAGACAGAAAAGTAGCCCCTAGACATTAGACATTTAGCTACGGAAAGGCAGTTTCCTTAGTTTTATTTGATTACTAGAA